GTCAAAATACACGCGATGAGATCTGCGAACAATAGTTCGTGTACATGAAGATAACACAATCTCGTAAGCATGGTTAGGGACACTCACCCTTCGCACGTGATGATGCCGTAGTGCAAGCCGGTCGCCTTGTCCTCACAGATCATGCATATCATAGGCGTTTCGTCCTCCTCGTGCTCCTGAGGCGGCAAGGGGGGTGCAGGCGGTGCCACCGATATGGACTGCGAGGCCGTTTCGGATTTGACAACGGTACCGCCGTTGCTGACCCACGGCTGCGCGGCGGAACCGGATGCCGTGAGATTCAGCGCCTGCATTTGTTGCGCCGCCGGCAGCTGCGTCAGATCGCCGGCCCACAGCCTTTCCATGTTGAGCGGCGGCCCGGCGGCGGATGAGTACGAGACTGCGGAGGAGGACGAGGGTGGTTTACCCCTGGACTCCTGGCCGAGGTTCAGCAACAGCTGGGCGGCCGACTCCTCCGACGAGGAGCACGAGGCGGCCGCCGCCGCTGTCGCCGACCAGGATGCCGCCGGTGGCGGTACCGGGTCCAACGGTGGTGCCGACCATATCATCGTACGGACACCGCCGATCTCGCCCATTAACACCGTGGGCGGGGGCCGCGGTGGTGCCGGCGCTGCTCTCTGCGCCGGTGGTTTCATACTTTCGCCTGAAATAAATCATCGACGAATGCTCTATATAATCTATTTATACATACATATGTATAATTAAATTTTCGGGTCCTTAACATTTTCCCCTGCACCTCTTTTGCTCTTCCACGAATTCCATATTTGTCACGTGATTGTCGTGATCATATGTACAATCATAGAGTAAGAAAGCGAATAAGAATGGTATTTTCTGTCAGAATTATAAGCGGTTTTGAAATTTTACGGATATCTTACGCGATTTTTATAACTGACACTAAGATGCGACAATTTCCAATTTTATGGATCTAAACGATAAATGGGGGGGGGGGGGATTTGTGTTAGATTCTCTTCCCGAGGTGAAGAGTACTTTTGTTATAAATTTTATTGTATGATTTTTAAGAATTATGTTTAGTAATTTTATATGAGTAACACCTCATCATGATATATAAGTATATAATGAGGAATTGAAAATGGTTAATGATTAAATATGAAGGGATAAATTATTGATTAATATGAGTATTCGATTTAGTAAAAAATGTATAATACGATAATCACAAAACTTACACGAGATTGCCGTGGTGGTAGCGCCGGTAGTGACGCAACTGGAATTGGTACCGCTAGAGCTGGCGGTACCACCTCCGGAGGTGGAGACGGTCGTGACATTCTGCCCGCCGTAGTTGACGGCGCTGCTGATGACACCGTTGAGTAGCCTCTGCGTAGCGAATCCCTGTACGCTAGTAGTATTCTGCGACCAAAATTGATGATGATGAGCCGCTAGCAGGTGCGGTGGTACCGAGGGCGCGCGCGACCTCGGCGGCGCTGGTGGCGATTGTTGCTGCTGTTGCACGGTTCCGTGCGGTCCGGCCGAACCAACCGCGCCGGGACTGACGTTCTGGCCCAGGTTGAATTGAGATGACGGGCTATTCCGGTGACTAGGTTGGTTGGAGGCTTCCGAACGACCGCTGACACCTCCACTGCCACCGCCACCACCACCACCGCCGCCTCCACCTCCGTCAAAGACCGAATTGTCGGACTCTTCCTTGGTCTGGACGGACGATAGGTCGCCCTTCAGATCCGGGCTGTCACTCCTCGAGGAGGCCTCCTGGGCAATCGGAGTCGACGAGACCTGGACCGGGGAGTACGGCGACGATTTGATCGGCACGGGGGTGGCGGAGCGTTGCTGTTGTTGTTGGTGCTGCTGCTGCGATTGCTGATGATGCTGCTGTTGCTGCTCATCGGCGACCCTGAAGCTCACCATCGGACCGGCATCCGGGAAGACCGAGTCGGGCGACGCGCGATCAGAGCACCCCGCATCGCGACCCTCTTGGCCGCTTCCTCTCCCACCTCCGCCATCACCGCTGCCGACACCACGAAGAGAGTCCCCTCCGCGCGGTGGCCCTGGACTCGGACTGCCCAGCAGGTACTCGTTCGACACTCTGATCTGGCAGCCCGGCGAGCTCGGCATGTTCGTCTCCGGCGACAGGGTTGAGGTGTCGGCCATGCTCTCCCCTGGAGCAGGAAAGTTTATGGGTGAAGGTGCGTCCGTCGTCGGGTTCCCCTGCGGCGAGCCTGCTGATCCGAGGGATACCGGGGAGTCTGAGAAATAAGGCGTTGGTCTCACGTTTATACTCGGACTGCGGAGAGTCTGTAACGCGGCGGGACGGTTCCCTTTTTTTTCCCCTTTTTCTTTATCCTCGAAGATATGCTCAAGTACGGTAACGCGGGAGTGTGTGGAATTGTTACTTAACGCGCGCGCGCGCGCGTTACATCTGACGGTGTAATTGATTAATTGAATGTAGGAATGGGAGCGGGATAAGGGGAATCGGCATCGGGGAATTGGAGCAAATTAATGACGTTGAACGCCCGATTGGCACCAGTCGACATACGCGACTAATTGGCGGCGCGAGCCGATATCGGAGGGTGAAGGTGAGATAATGAGCTGTGATGGAGCGTAACGTGTTGCGTTTCCCTATGATGTGACGTCTTCCTTGCTATTTGGTATTCCAGACTGACACGTTCATCATTCCATTGTCATTTCGAGTTGACGAGTAAATTTAATATGCGATGTAGTTATTCGTTATATTAACTCGA